TTGGTGCAAAAGACAGGAACACAGCAAGACTGGGACTGGAGACAGCTCTGAAGATGACTCCCAGTGGCTACATGCACATACTTCCCGGAAGACACGCAGAAGCTGGAGACTTGAGATCACTGGGAGATTTCCTCTCCTCTGAGGTTTCCCACTATCTCAAGTAGACGTGGGTCATCTCTGCCACCAAGACTAAGACCACTAAGACTAAAACTAAAGACACAACTACAGATTATTGACCAAGGTTAACGATGTCACCCATATGCCTGGCTACCACTGATCAATATTACCTAAGCAACTATACTTGCAATTTTACTGGTTAATCATAATTTGGACCCATGCTCCACCTGCTTCACAATATTTTGCTCTATAAAACTTTCAAACAGGCTTACTAACAACCATTTGGGCTCTCTCCTGTCTCTGAGGAGTTATTCCTATTCTCCATTCTATCCCCCAAAATTTTCCTACTCTTAAAAAAAAAAATTTAAAGAGGGCTCAGTGAGGGGGCTGGGGATTTAGCTCAGCAGCATAAGCGCCTGCCTTAAAAGCAGGCAGTCGTGGGTTTGATCCCTGGTACCGATAAAAACGAAAAAGCCCAAAAAAAAAAAAAGAGGGCTCAGTCAGAAGCCCTGGACCCCATACCACTACCACTAAAGAAACTAACAGCATTGGTCCCGGGTTTCGGCACCAAAAAAAAAAAAACTTAACAGCAGAATAACCAATAAAATGAACAGCCACATGGAATCTGCCCCATAACATAGTAGAGAAAGACAAGAGATGCACTATTCTTTGATTAACTAAAGCTAAACAGCAGGTATCTGGTGGGTAGTTCATGTTCCATCTTTCTGTTTGAAAATTTCATTGATAATGTATAATTTAACTATCTCAAGTAAGCCTGTTGTGGTACACACATATAATCTCAGCATTTCAAGGAGGCTGAGGCAGGAGGGCTACATATTCAAACCCAGTCCACTCAGGGAAGTGCACGCTTATAATTCCAATTTATAAGAGGCTGAGACAGAAGGATGGCCAGGAGTTCAAGGCCAGCTGGGCTACACAAAGAGACTTTGTCTCAAAAAAAAATACAAACCACCAATAAAAGTTCAGAATGAAGGGGCTGGGGATTTAGCTCAACGGCATAAGCACCTGCCTTGCAAGCACGCAGTCATGAGTTCGATCCCCGGTACCAATGAAAAGATAAAAAAAAAAAAAGTTCAGAATGTATAAAAAACTCAAAAAAGTCAGTCTTCCCAGATTTAAAGACCCAATCCAAAAATGGGCATCTGAGATGAACACATACTTCTCAGATAAAGAAATACAATCAGCAAATAAATACATTAAAAAATATTCAACAATACTTGGTCATTTAAGAGATGCAAACTAAAACAACACTGAGACTCCACTTCACCCCAGAAAGAATGGCTAGTATTAAGAAATCAACCAATACAAACGCTGGAGGGGCTTTGGGGAAAAAAGGAACCCTTTTCCACGGTTGCTGGGAACACAGACTGGTACACCCACTGTGAAAGTCAGTGAGGAGATTTCTCAGAAAACTAGGATTGGGGGTCCCAGTTGATCCAGCTATTCCCCTTCTGGGTATCTTCCCAAAAGAATTAAAAACATCACACCACAGTGATGTATGTACACCCATATTTATAGCAGCACAGTTTATAACAGCCAAATCTTGGAAACTTAAATGTTCATCGACTGAGGAATGGATAAGAAAGACGTGTATTTCTATACAGTGGAGTACTACTCAGCCATAAAGAATGGTAAGCTTGATACCTTTATAGCTAAATGGATGCACTTTGAGAACATACTTATTAGTGAAATAAATAAGGCACACATGTACAAACATTGTATTGTTTCCTTAGTGTGACAAGCTGCAACAAAAAATGTGTGTATGTGTATGTATATTAAAAAAAAAAAAGCATAATGGCCTCCTTTGTCACACAAAACACCTATTCAGAAGAAAATTCAATGCCTCCCCACCTTCATTGAACACCTCTATAGGCTCTGCCTTCCTTTCTACACCTTGTCCCAGACTTTTTGCCCCAGAGAAAATGACCTCAGCCAAAACAACGACTCAGCCCACACCTGCCTTTACTTTAACCCACTGTGAGTTGACATGTGGCTATCTTAAGAAATTTTTGATGTGCTGTAAGGTTTGGGTTTTTTGCACGTGGATATCCAGCTGTTCCAGTATAGTCATTGAATACAATCCTTTCTCCACTTAATTGCTTTTACATCTTTGCCAGAAATCAGTTGTCTGTTACGTGGGTGTCTACTCCGGGCCTTCGTATTGGTCCCTTGGTGGTTTGTCTATCTTGGTATCAATGCCATTTTGTCATGAATGTTGTAATTTTGTGATAAGTCATGGGATTGGGGAGGGTTGGAGCTCTGATTTTGTTTCTTTATCAAAGTTGTTTAGATCATTCTGAGTCTTTTGTATTTCTCAGCAACTTAATCAAAATGTTAATCTTTATGAAAAATGATGTTGACATTTTGAAAAAAAAAAAGTTCAATCTCAGCCTAGGCAACTCTGTACTCTGCAACTCAGTGAGACCCTGACTCAAAAAACAAAAAGTTACTACCCAGGTTCAATTCTTCAGTATAACATCACAAGTGGAAGGAAAAAAACCCCTACTAGAAACCAAATATAACGAACTATAACAATTGCACTTAGAATTCTTTCCTTCAAGTACTAAATTCAGCCAGAATTCTCCAGGAAAAAAAAAAAATACTAAAGTAAAAAGAAGGCTTGGTTTGGAGATCTAGAAGCTGCATATACCCTCTTAAATAAAGTCATTGTAGTCAGGCATGGTGGTACAGGCCTGAATTCCCAGCACTTGGGAGTCTAAAAGCATGAGGATCACAAGTGTGTCTGAGGTCAGCCTGGGCTACAAAGTGAGTTCATTCAAGGCCATCCTCAACTGCACAGCAAGATTCTGTGTTGAAAAAACAAAAACAAAAAAAAATCATTCTATATGGAGGCGGCTCACCAGCAACCACTGGCTGGGAGAAATACCCACCAGACAGCGAACTAGTTTCGTACCAGTGGTAACATCCGGGTCACCATCAAATCTATCATCTGACAAATAACTTAAACTTTAAACAGAATACCTTGGATAAGGTTTCAAGCAGTTCTAACAGCAAAAGCCAAAAAAATGGGTGTTTCTTTTTAAACTTATTTTACAGGTAAATTGGTAATTTTCCGCAGTTACAGCACCATGCTTGTTTCACAAATTAATTTTCCTTATTTTTTTTTTTTTAAAGTTAAGGAATCTTCCTGCCAGACACAGTGGCACACACCTATAATCCTATCGCTAGGGCAAGGCAGGAGGATCACTGAAAGTTTGAGGCCAGCCTGAACAGCACAGTGAAACTCTTATCTCAAAAAAAAAAAAAAAAAATCATAAAGTTAAGGAATTTTCTCTGGTAATTTACTCCAGTATCATATCAAGAACATTTTTCCACTTTTCCATAAAGATATTTTATATTATAAACAAGAGTAAAATAAGGGTGTCTTTAAAATGTTGCCTTAACTTATAAAGTCTTGGGCTGAAAGTGCTCTGAGGTAAAACAGTATTTGCCTAATGGGTGTAGCTTAATGGTAGACCCTACTTATTTACTAGGAAATCACAGGGTTCTATCTCCAGGAGACGCCCTCCCCACAAAAGTCTTCTCGAAATACCAAACTCAAGAAAACAAACAAACATGATGCATCATTTTTAGAACTCAAGCTCCTGAAAAATATTCTCATTTGTTTACTGTTTACTTTTGTAAAAACATTAAGGCACACATTAAAACTTACTGTAAGGGGTTGGGGATTTAGCTCAGCGGCATAAGCGCCTGCCTTACAAGCAGGCAGTCGTGAGTTCGATCCCTGGTACCGATAAAAAGACAAAAAAAAAAAAAAAAAAAAAAAAAAAAAAACTTACTTTAAGGTTACTGCATACTGCTGTGGTAGGGCACTAGCAGGCCTGAGGTTTAGTTAAGACTCCCCGTGGCTCACATACAGCAACACTAAACGAATACGTAAATGTGAACAACAAATTCTGATTTAACTATTTCTTATATTTAACAACATCAATAATAGCCCACTATCTTCTGCCTATTGGTCTTACAACCCAGTAAAAGTTCATTAAGACACTTTTCTGTTTTCCTTATATGAGAGGGGGAATGTGCACTGTCAATTAAAATAACTCCCAAATTGTCAAGAACACTTTCTGAAAGAGTATCTCATTCCACTAAGGACAAACAAATTTCTGCAACTGCTATACTTGTGAATAACGCTGAATTATGGATTTTAAGCGCAACTGAAGAGGTACACAAAACAAAATTTAATCCACGTTAACACTGCTCAAGGGCCTTTTGTGAGCTGTATACCACAAGATCGAGTATAACTCATCAAAGTCAGTCAGCTTCCTAAGGGATTCACACACTGCACGGTGAAAGGCATCCAACGCCCTGGAGTGGCATAGTCACGTACTTTAACACACTGCTAAGCAAAAAAAAGAGGGAAAAAAAAAAAAGCTCAACCCAGAGCAGCGCTCTCCACGGTAGAGATCCGTGACTATTCCTAAGGAACAAGTGGTCGGGAGAGCTGGGCGGGGCAAAACCGAGCTGACCAATCAGAGCACGGCTTACAAGTACTGCCGAGATAGAAGGCGAAGAGAGCGCCCCGCTGAGTGGCTGGCGGCCCGCCCCCGTAGGCGGCCGCACCTGGAGACCCACCCCGGCCGCGGCAGCAGCGCCCCCATCTCCGCCCCGCGCCACCCCCCGGCCGTTTCCTGCCAAAACAAACCCAGACGCCACCAAAAAAAGATAAAAACAAAATAAAATATACCGAAACGAAAAAAATACACGCACAAAACGAAACGTCTGCGGGTGGAAGGCGGAGGTCACCGCCCGCCCTAGGCGCGGCCGCACCGTGCGCTCCCGGAGGGGCGAGGGCAGGGGCGGCGCGCAGGGACGCGGGCGGGGACGCGTCCAGTGCTCACCAATTCCTCGTAGCTCCTGCTGTGCTCGTTGCCTTCCCAGTCCAACCTCTTCGGCAACAGCTGGAAAGACACGACACGCGCGCGAGTGACCACCGAGCCAGCGCGGGGAGGGAGGGGGCGGCGCGGGTCGTGAGTGGGGGCCGTGGGGACGCGCGGAGACGCGAGTACAGACCTGGTACTGCTCCAGCTCCTGCACCAGCACCTGCGGAGAGACGCACGTTCAGCGCTGTGGTCGCCGGCCGGGCCCGGCCCCCACCCTGCCCTCCCGCGCCCCCCGCGGCGGGGACACGCACCTGGGCGGCTCTGCGACAAGGGCCTGCCGATAGGTACCGGGCGATGAGAAAGTAGAGCTCTGCGGGAAGGGTAGAATAGGTCAGGACGGGGGGGCAGGGACGGACAGGACGCGACGGGCCCGCGGAGAGGGGCGGCGCGTCCCCGGCTTACCCGACTCGATGAGGGGCACCGGGCGTCGGGCGGGCGACGGCTCCGCCATGGCCGGGCACGAGGGCGGGAGCAGAGAGAGCGAGCGGGGCGTGTAGGCCGCGCCGAGGCCTGAGCGGGCCGGCGTCCCCTCTCCTCAGGCGCGCGCCGCCGCCGCCATGCCGTGCGCGCCGCCTGCGCGCGTCGCCTCTGCAGAGGCTGGCGGAAGTAGTTCCTCCGCGGGAACGCGAAGTAGTCCCTCTGCAGTGGCGCTGGGCGACGCTGGCCGCCAACGAAAGCAGATCACCCAACTGATTCCTACGTCCCGAGGGGGACGCAGCGGGGACGCGGGAATCCGGGCCAGGAAGCGGCGGCGACAGCAGCACAAATAGGGGAGAAAGGCCGCGGACGGATCCCTGCGCGAGGTGAAGCGACCTGCCTTTGTGCGGCGGCGGCGGAGGCGGCCCAGCTGCGAGAGGCGGGGGCGGAGGTCGCTCTGCGGCCGGGCGGGGGCGGGGCCGGCGGCGGGGGGCGGGGCGGTGACTCTAGAGGAACGCACCGCGGACTCCGGCTGGAGATGAGACGGGCGTGCGCGGGCGCCCCTCGGCCAGTGCCTCGGACGGGACAACTCTGGGCGGGTACCGGAGCCTGCGCCGCGACCCCTGTCGAAGCCCGGAGGACAGGAACATCTCGTGGCCGCGCCGGGCCCGGCCAGCGGGGAAGGGGCGGGACCCCGGCACGGTTCCCTCAGTGCCGGCGACCCTCGGACTCCTGTCCTGTAGCGCTGCGCGAGGACGATGCAGAAGGCCGAGCTGCCGTCCCGCAGCCCCGCAGTCCGTCCCTGCAGCAGGGAGGAAGAGCCTGGTGCCCCGCAGTGTCGTGAGGGGAGTGACCTGGCGGGACTCTGCAAAGGACGGGCCGCATCGGGGGACGGGGTATGGGCCAAGGACGAGAAGGATGTGTCACTGGCGCTCTCGGGAGAAGACAGGACTTGAGGTGGGAACGTGGAAAAGGGCCAGAAAGTTTGCGTCATCGCAATTCCGGGCTTCTGGCCTTGTGGGATTCGATCCTGTAGCGCAGCCCTTTTCAGAGCCCCAAGCACAGCGCTGCGCCAAGCGGAGGCCGCGGCCTTCGCAGAGAATGAGCTCTTTCCTCGGAGCAGCGGGGAACTGGTATCAGACCCCCCCCCCCAATAAGCTGCTCTTGGCCCATAATTAGCCGAGTGGCTTTGAGCCGTCTCACCTTCTGATGTTTGTGTCTGTCTCATAGGGTTGTGAAGATCAAATGATTTAGTAGGTGTCTACACCAAAGAGTGAAAACTCCAGTACACACACACAGTAGCAGGCTATACGCATTTGGGCCAATGCTGTTTCAGCAGACTCGACCAAGAGATGGGATAAAAAGATGAATAAGTCACAGCTTCACCATCAGACGACTTCAGTTAGTGCTGGATGTGGCAGTGCACACCTAGAGCCCTAGCTACTTAGGATGCTGAGGCAGGAGGATCACAAGTTGGAGGTCAGCTGGGTTAAACCCTGGCACAAAGGGGAGGGTGAGAGTGGCTCAGTGGTAGAGCTCCCCAGAGTCCAATGCCCAGGACCCTTCCCCCACAAAAGAAACTGATGTGTTAGGGGGAAGCAGAAGGTTTAGAGAGAGGGTTAGCAAGTTGCCTGAAGGGGAAATGATAGGAAGGTTTGGGTTACGCCACACTACAGTGTGTAAAGAAAGATTTCAGGCACACGAAGGACCGAGGACCAAGACTATTTCCGGTTTCAGTACTACTTAAACAGGGTTTAGTATGCCTAGTCAGCAGGCTTTAGTTGAACAGGACCAGTAAGTCACGAGTTGAGACTGGAAACAAGCCAGAAAGGATGGCCTGGAGAAGGATGAGAGCAGAAAGAAGGAAAAGCAAGCAGTGTAGACTCTTCTAACAGGAACGGGATGAAGATGCATTACAGCAATAGTTACAAGATTGGAGGCAGGCATGGTGTCGCACACCTGAATCCCAGCACTCGGGAGGCTGAGGCAGGAGAATCGCTGAGTTTGAGGCCTGCCTAAATCACAAAATGAGACACTGTCTCAAAAAAAAAAAAAAAAAAAAAAAAGAATTTAAGCTTTCAAAGATTGACTAAGGGGGCTGGGGATTTAGCTCAGCGGCATAAGCGCCTGCATTGCAAGCACGCAGTCGTGCACGTTCGATCCCTGGTACCGTTAAAAAAAAAACAAAGATTGACTAAGGAGCCATACTTACTTTGTAACAGTGTACACTAAAACCCTCCAAAAATATCACCAGAGTTTGCATCCCCAGCACTGGAATTCCATTGTATGGAATTAAAAGCTATAGTATGGGCAGCAGGTCACCATCACCTATGATCAGACCTGATGGCATGAGCCTGCTTTTGTGGGTCCTGGTGGTCCCTTCACAGCTTACACTGACTCCATCACAAGTGCTCTTCCAAGATTATTTTATTTGAAACGGCATCTCACAGTGTAGTTCAGGCTGGCCTTGAACCTATTCACTCTGCAGCACAGGCCGGTCTCGAACTTGTAACGATCCTCCTGTTTCAGCCTCAAGTTTTAAAAAGAAGCAGGTGTGGTTGTGCACACCTGTACAGTAATACTAGTTACTCAGGAGGCCGAGGCAGGAGAATTGCTGCAAATTCAAGGCCAATCTGAACAACACAGTGAAAACGGTCTCGAAAAAATTTTAAAATAAGAACAATAACTGGGGACAGGGAGTGGAGAAAGTCTGTGGATGTAGCTCAGTGCAGATGTTCTAGGTTGGATCCTCCCAATACAGAAAGGGAAAAAGGAAAGAAATTGTATGATCAAAATTATCAAAAACTTGCTTGCTGACCAAAGGTAGAGGGAGACCATACTGCCTCTGTGTGTGTGTGTATGTGTGTATGCACACTTAATGTATGTCCTGGCAGTGCCCCAAGTAAGTGAATGCTCTGCCACTGAGCCACATACCCAGCCCAATTTGAAAAATCTATTTCTTTTTGTTTCTTTGTACCAGGATTTGAACTCAGGACCTTGTACTTACCAGGCACATACCACTGAGCTATGTCCACTTTGGAAAATCTTAAAACAGCTGGCAAGAAGCTATCCTTAGTTACCCATCTCCACCCCAGGATGCACCTTCAAGGGAACTATGGTATTTTAGCCCTTGGCAAGAAAATCTCTACTCAGAGCCCTTAGGGGTCATTAACAGTCCAGGACTGGCCAGAGGGAGCTCCTACCTGTGGGCTTCGCACCACCAACGGTACATGCACAGCTGTGCATGGAGTGGAGGGGCTCTGCGCAGTTCCATCCAGTGGTTCCAGCTGCCTGACAGTACAGTCTCTTGTGAAGCACCGGTGGTTTGGGCCAGCAGGAACATGGGTACCTGCACTCTTCACGGTGACAAAGCAGATGAGAGGCTGGGGGCGGGGGAGGGAATGGGCCTCCGCCCACGTAGCTGGGAAGCTGCAGCCAGGTGGAAAGGCCAGGTGAGAAAGTGCTTACTACCTTAGGCTGCAGAGTTCTCTTTTGCTGCATTTCTCAAAGGAAGGAAATGGTACCTGAAGAGTAGATGTACATAAGATTACACAGCTGCCACATGAGATCTGAAATGTCAAGATCCATGCAGAGCGCATGTGTGATCACATTTGCCACAAACAACTCTTTGATTCAGTTGTTCACATGTTTGGGGTAGAAAGGTTTGAGACAGAGTCTCACTATGTATATGTAGTCCTGGTTCTTCGAACTCACAGTGATCCTCCTGCCTCAGCCTACTACCAAGGATGGGTTACAGTCACATGCCACTATACAAGGTAGTTATCCCTATTTTTTTTTTTTTTTTTTTTTTTTTTTTTTTTGTCTTTTTCAGTTTTTTTCAGCACCGGGGATCAAACTCATGACTGCCTGCTTGCAAGGCAGGTGCTTATGCCACTGAGCTAAATCCCCAGCCAGTTATCCCTATATTAAGGATGAGGAAACAGGTTTACAAAGTTTAGGAATTTGCCTAAGGATGGATGGAAAGTGTTTTAATTTAAAGAAAAAATAAAACAGCTGGTCCGCAGCAAGGACTGACTGGCTAGGTTTGTAGTGCAGTGGTAGAGCGCTTGCCTAGCATGGCCCTGGGTTCAAGCTCCAGGACTGGGAAAAAACCAAACTATTAGCAAGTAGGTCAATCTTGACAGACTAAAATGTAAGGAAAAGAAATCTAAGCAGCAGAAATGCTTCAAAACAAATTAGCTGCGTGATCCAAAGTCTAAAACAGTGGGTGTGCAGTTTGCAAGCTGACTTCAGTCCATCAAGCAGCCACAGTGCATAACAGGTAGCACCTGGGCATTCATGAGATAGATGGTATAGGACAGTGTTTACTGCAAGATCAAGTCAGCATGAGAGTGAGGTCAAGTGGGCAAGAAGAACCTTTTCAGGACAGGGTCTCGTTAGGCAGTTCAGGCCGGCCTCAAACTGGTGGCAGTCCTCCTGCCTCAGCCTCGCAGGTTCTGGGATTACAGGAGTACACCACCATGCCCAGCTGTTTTGCTTTATTCTTTCACAGTGCTGGGGATGCAACCCAGGGCCCTACACATGCTAGGCAAGTGCTCTACCAGCAAGCTGCACCGCAGCCCAAACCTAGATCGACTCAGCAGTGAGACCACACTGAGGCCTTGTCTGAGGTGGGCACTGTGGGAAATGCAGGCATGGGTCTTAGACCCTAGATACGGAAGCGTATGTGTCAACATCCTGTTGGACTTGGAGATGAACCGCGAAGTTGTCTGCTGCTTGTTTCTGTGCTGCGGGTGCTGGAGGGGTTGCCCAGGCAGCCCAGGGCAGCCACCACTGCACCGCACCCAGCCCAGATATCTGCCCACCCTCAGGCCTGGGGTCTAACTCCCAGCACCCCTCTTCACCCACTGCCTCTGCCTCAGGAAATAGGGAAATGTCCTTCCCCGCCTGACCCAGCTGTGTCCCCTTCAGGCTGGCCCGCAGCCCTCAGTGCATTGTCTCCACACTTACCTCCTCCCACTCCAGCTTTTGCCTCTCCCTGTGACTGGCTGCTGTCCTGGTTTGTCCCCAGCTTGCTATCACTGGCCTATGTCTGTTGCCAAGTCTCACTAGTCCTCACTTTGAAATGTTTCTCACGCAGCATTAGAAAAAGCATGGCTGGAGACTGGGAATGTGGGCGCTGGGCCCAGAATGTGCCTGCCATTTGGATGTCAAAATTGTGCAACCTCTCCTGGGAAGTCATTTTGACTGTTTAATAATGTGCTTTGCTTTGTTCTTTGAGACAGAGTCTCACTATGTAGCCCAGGCCAGCCTCAAATCTGGCAGCAATTCTCCTGCCTCAGCCTCCTGCGTGCTGGAATCATAGGTGTGCACCACCATGCCA